AGTGTCCCTTCCTTGGATTTCCGAGGCGGTATTTCTATAGATGTAGATTGCCCAGTCTTCCTTCCTAGGAGTAGATGGTGGGTTTGAACCACTGGCCTTCTGGTCAGTAGTCAAATGCCTTAGGCATCCTTTTGTTAACTTGACTTTTTCTTTGTTCCTTTGAAAACCTCCACATTTAATCATGCTGATTAAGGCTGGATGATGCATAACAATAGCCTAAAGAAGTGCAGTTAACTCAAAAGTGTGTGCACCAAGCAGCTGTAGTTTTTGATTAACTATAAGTTTCTTTTAGTGTCAGCTTTTCAGAAAGTCTTTCTAAACAATCAGATTACTTTTCTGTCTTAACAATCATTGTATAGTGAACAGAAATGACTCTTTCATTGAAAATCTTAAAAGGTTTCAGAGTCTCAAGTCCTCTAAGCCTCAGTTCTCATTGTTCAGAAGAGAAGCTGAAGGAGATATAGGAGCTCAGCATGCTTGAATACTAAATTTGGAATATACTTCTAACACTCATGTGGTACATGTGCTATTAAGGTCTTTTTCATGTGTGTCTTTTGCCTGTGCTTCTCCTTCAACTAGTTTAATAGGTAGGGAATGGTATAATTATTTTGTCTCATCATACTTAAGGAGCCCTGGTGGCACAGTGGTTAAAGCACTTGGTTGCCAACCAAAAGGTTAATGGTGCAAATCCACCAGCCAATCCCTGGGAGAAAGATGTGCAATCTGTTTCTATAAAGATCTACAGCTTTGCAAACCCTTTGGGGAAGTTCCACCCAGTCTTATAGTATCCCTAAGAGTTGCAGTCAGCACCATGGCAGTGGGTTTAGTGTAGTTTGATATTATCACATGCAGCAGAGAGCTCTGGAAAAAAAGTAAATTTAATACTTCTTATTTAGGTTTCTCCTGATATGCATTACTTTTAGAATCCAGATTCACACATCTCTGTTAATTTATCCAGATTTAAAACCACTTCTTAACATTTCTGAGCACAATGAAAAGCACGTTTCTTCATGGAGTCAAAATTAAAAAAGACACGTGGGGAAGAGCAAAAACAACAAAAATGAATTTAAAAAAGCAGTCGTGTCAATGGGGATGAAAATGCAAAATGAAAAGCTCACATGCAGTCAAATATCATCTGGATTTACAAATACAAAAACACACATACATATATGCACATGCATGCATGCAGATGCTGTATTTATTTAATTTATTGTGGTAAAATATATATGCCATGCAGTTAATTGCTTGGAATGGCCCTTCTAGCCATAGTGTTTGTAACTTCCACTAAATGACTGCGTTGGACTATAAAAATGTGAGGTGCTTATGGCCCACCAAGGGATTAGATAAGTTGCTAATAATGTAAATAAAGTTCATGGCACCCTTGTGAGGGTTGTTGTTGTTGTTGTTATGTGCCGTCGAGTCAGATCCAACTCACAGTGACCCCTCCTTGGGTTTCTGAGGCAGTATCACTATGGAAGCAGATTGCCCAAACTTCCTTCCGAGGAGTGGCTAATGGGTTTGAACTGCCAGCCTCCTGGTTAGCAGTCAAGTGCCTTAGGATGGAACCATGCAAATAAGGTGTATGGAACCCTAACATGGGGATTAGTCATTTCTGCCATTACACTAAGCTTAAAATGAGTCATGCCAGAGGAAGTAAGGGGGATCTCATGATTATTAAGAAAGAGAGACAGGAGTGGAACAGGTCCTTGGACTCAAGATTCCTTCCCTGAACCTCCTTGACCCAGGACAGAAAGAGAGCTCTAACATTTTACTGAGATGGCAGAAGATGAAGAGAAACAGCAGCTGACACAGCAACAGACCTCACAGCAGACCTAGCATGAGACAGTGGAGTGGGCTTCTGGACCCATGGAGTGAGAAAGCTTAGTGCCTTTAGGCAAGAGGCTTGTTGGTGGAGTGGGGTGCCACTTCGCAGCTATTGGCAGAGCTAAAACAGCTTTGTAATACTTTCCCAAGAAGGCCAGGGGAGCAGGGGGCTGCTAGGCCAGGGAACTGAGGTCAGAAAGAAGTGCGCTAGTGGCATGGCTGAGAAAAGGACATCCTGATATCCTGCATTATTTCTGATCCTAAATTGTAACCTGTTACTTCCCTAAATAAACCTCATAACCATGAGTATTATCTGTGACTTCTGTGTGGTCATTGCAATGAATTATCGAACCCAGTAAAGAAGTAAAAGATCTCTGATGGCATAATGGATAAGGCATTTGATTGCTAATGGATAAGGCAAATGGTTCAAACCCACCACCCACTCTGCAGAAGGAATATGGGGCAACATCTACTTCCATAAAGATTTACAGCCTTGGAAACCCAAGAGGGGTCGCCATGAGTCAGAATCAACTGGATGGCAATGAGTTTGGATTTTTTTTTCTCCCCCTAGTAAGAAGTAGAGCATGCCTTGGGAGGTATGGCTGGTATCAGAACTGGTAAAAAGGTTGAATCAGCCTTGGGCTGTTGATCTTGATCCTTCTCCCACTTTATGAACTTAGAGGAAGTCAAACACCATCACCTAGCCCTTGATATAGGTGATTTCAGAAGCAAGATTCATTGCAATGGCTCCAGACTCCTGGAAATATAAGATTTTGTAAGACAAAGAACGAAGAAGCATGGGAAGTGAAGCTTTTGATCAGATGGTCACTCTGGATGTTGTTACCTGTAATGGCTGAAAGGAATGTAAGATATTTTATGCTTCAGCTGGATGGAGAAAAGCCTATGGCAAGAGTCAGGTCAACTAAATGAGACAATTGATAGGGGAGTCAGGGTCTATTGGTTCTGTCCAGCCATAGGCCCAAGGCTATATGCATGTGAGTGGAAAGACAGTCAAGGTGTGGAGATGAGAAGATGAAACTGGAATGTTTTAAAAAGGGTTATATATTCATCTGAATGTACTATGGATAGTGAGTATTTCTCCTACTTAGTTCTATGCTACAAATTAATATTGGGTATTATAGTTTACAGAACATATAACACCACCTCCAGCCAATACTTGATTGCACATGTTACAAGGAGAACTAGTAAGATTTGCCCAGAAGTAAGACAGGCTTTTAATTTCAAGCCCTTTAAATAGAGTATTGTGGGCTAAGGTCAAAATCCTGATCCCCACACAGGAAGTCTGCACTTGAAAAGACATGCAGACCCATTTAGAATTGCTGAGAGAATAAGAGATTTGCATGTGAAGGGAAAAAATGTGTGTGTGTGTGTGTGTGTGTGTGACTTTTTATTTTCAAATTTCAAGCAAACAGTTTGTTGTTGCATATGTGGAGGCAGGAAAAAGTCAAGGCCCATCAGAAGACTCCCTTCCAGGACTGGAAGTTAAAAGGAGCTAGCAAGTAGACACCCTCATATGCTACTTTGATGTGACCAGCTGGGTCCACTTGATGAGTGGAAGTGGGGAGCTGCAACAATGAAGAAACAGACTGAGTTTGGACACATTCCATTGGTAGCAGTTAAGAAGCCCACGGAGGCCAGGAATGAGAGAGAGGAAGGGGACTGGCTGTTCTGAAGTATAGGGAGTTGCGTGAAATACGAGCCTATGGGTGATACCCATTCACCTAGCCCATGGGTGCTAGGGATGAAAGAAAGGGAGAAGGGGCTGCCTGGCCTGAAGTTCAGGAAGGTGTGTGAACTCCCAAGCTTACAGCTGTTACCCATTGACCTAGCTTTGATGGCTAGAGATGAGTGGGCCAGAACCCAATCAAATGAAGAGAAAGATGTTTGACATCATGAGCTGGTGTAAATTGCTGCAATTTGATGTCTTGTTCTGGACTGGCCTTGGCTTTGGGTGCATATGTTCCAAGTTCCAACTGGAAGAGAAGATTCTTCAGAGAAAGGAACATGCTTGTGTCCTCAGCATACTGGTTTGATAGGTTCAGGTAATTTAGAAATTGGCTATCTAAAAATGAGGAGACATAAAGGCATGAAGTGGCTGGCTTACACACTTTCATGGGTGTGCTTATACTTAAAATGAGTGGGAGGGCAAAGTTAATCTTTCTAGTATAAAAGAGTCAGTGGCTAGAAGAGCCAGGGGTAGCCTGTGGTACACTGAATTGCTTGGTATGGCCCTTCTAGCCATAGTCCTTGTAACTCCCACAAAATGACTGGGTTGGTTGTTGTTGGTATTTGCTGTCAAGTCGACCCCAACTCATAGCGACCCTTCCTTGGGTTTCCAAGGTGGTATCACTACGGAAGTAGAGTGTCCAACCTTCCTTCCAAGGAGTGGCTGGTGGGTTTGAACGCCAGCCTTCTGGTTAGCAGTCAAGTGCCTTAGGCACTATGCTAACAGAGCTCCTAATGACTGGGTAGGACTATGCAAACATGAGGTGCTTGTGGTCCACCAAGGGATTGCATAGCTTGCTAGTGATGTTAATAAGGTACATGGCACCCCTGTGGAGGTGGTACCAAGCAAATAAGGTGTGTGGAACCCACCTTACTGGGATTGGTCAGTTTAGCCATTCTGCTAGGCTTAAAATGAGCCATCCCAGAGGTGGAAATAGGCATCTCACTACCATCAAGAAAGAAGAGCCAGGAGAGCAGCACATCCTTGTACCTGAGATCCCTGCACTGAACCTCCTTGACCCAGGAAACAGAGAGAGCGAGCTCTAACACTTTCCTGAGATGGTGAGAGATGAGGAAAAGCAGCAGCAGACCCAGCAGGAAATAGCACAGTGGGCTTCCAGACGCACAGAGCAAGAAATTTGAGTGCCCTCAGGCACCAGGAGCAGGGTACATCTCTGGGCACCTCTCATCAGAGCTAAAAGAGGTCTGTAACACTCGCCCAAGCAGGGCATAGGCCAAGGGCTGCTGGACCCAGAGGCTAAGGCCAGACAGAAGTGTTCCTGTGGCACAGCTGAGTAGAGGCTGTCCTCATGGAAGAAAACTACCCTGAGTTGTTTCTGATCCTGAATTGTAACCTGTTACTTCCCTAGTAAACTCCATAATCATGAGTACTGCCTGTGAGTTCTGTGTGGCCATTGTAATGAATTATCAAAACTAGCAGAGAAATAGAGAGTGCCGTGGGAAGGACAGTTGGTTTTAAAATTGGTAAAAAGGTTGGAGGGTGGAGGCATGTCTGACCTCCACCTCATATAAATCAGCCTTAGGCTGTTGGTCTTGATCCTTTTTCCCTCTTTGAAGTTAGAGAAAGTCAGATGCCACCCCCTCACCATTGTTACAATATAATAAAGAGTTTACTATTTTAACTAAGTTTTAGTATTTTACCATGTTGTGCTACCATCACCACTATCCATTTCTGTAAGTTTTCTATCACATCCAAACAGAAACTTGGTACCCCTTTAGTAATACCTCCCTCCCTTCCTCAGGCCCTAGTGACCACTAAACAACATCTGTCCCTATGTATTTCTCTAACTAGGTATTCCATATAAACGGGATCATACAATACATGGCATTTTGTGCCTTATATTTTGCTCAGCATAATGTTTCAAGGTTCACCCATGAGGTGGCATGCATCATGATTTTATTTCTCTTTACGCTTGAATAATATTTCACTGTATGTATATACAACATTTTGTATGTGCATTCATCTATTGAGGGCCACTTGGGTTGTTTGCACCTTTTAGTTATTCTGAGTTATGCTGCAGTGAACATGAGTGAACAGGTATCTATCTATTTGAGTCTCACAGAAGTTGTATTCTTTACCTTCTAATTTACTTGTAATTGTGGGTAAATAATTTTCTCTCATCACTTAACCCCAGGGGAAAAAAATTCTAAATTATCCCAATGGAAAATAAAATTTCTACAGATGATTTACATCAGAGTATAGAATCTTTCTTTAAAAATCACTTACAGTTTAGTAAAATTTGCTATAAGGTAAGTTTTCTAATGGAAATTTATTTCCTTATTAACTTATACAATTATAATTTCATACCTAAATAAAACATACAAGCACTTTTGAGGAAAGTCAACATTAAAGTTAATAAATAATTAGGAGTGGACTCATATACTAGGTGGAAGGTTTCATTAAATGGTAGCTCTCAGTCCCCATGATATAGCAGGGGGATTCAACTAGTGTGAATTGTGTCAAGTAATTTAAGTAGATATGAAAATACCTCACTAAAAATGTTAATTTCAGGAACTTGGCAATTTTTGATGGGGGTGAAAAGATGAAGCTAACATGATGAAAATTTTACATAACCCAGTGTGAATGTCATCTGTCATGTTTGTATGACCAAACCAAAGATGGAAGACCTTTAAGATGACTTTGGGGGGCCTTTCCTACCCCGAAAATGCACTGAATGCTTCCTGTGTTGAGAACACTGTTCACTGTGCTGAGTTAAAATGGGTGCTAGGCCTAGAATCACTGAGTGTAATAGAATGCTTTTCACTGATATCTTTACCCTCATTCTATCAGCTGTGGATCACAATTACCTCTCCCATGCTCAGATTGCCTGCTTAAAAGCAAAAATGCCCCCTTGAGTGTTCTTCTCCATAAGGTTGAACAGAATGAGCCATAATCACACTTCATTATTAAGTCCAGCCTGGCATGGCAAATATGAACATTTGTTATTTTTTGAAACTACAAGGAACGTAAGAAAAATAATTATTTACCTACTTGATGATATCTAAGTCCAAAATTTCACATATTGAGTTTATTTCCAGCAAGGGCTATTTCATATCCAAAGTATTGTCTTTCTTGTCTGTATACAGCCATGTGTCCACTAAAACACATTCTGACAAGGCATCCAGTGATGGTAATTTCCTATTTCCTTAATGGGACTTAAAAATACACGGGCACATAGAACAGATGTGACAGAAAAACATACATTCCCAGAACAATTAGAATTGAGTTTCACAAGGGAGTTCACTAAGGAATAATATTTAAATTTCCTATAGAAAAATAATGAATTTGAACTTAAGAGGTTTTTGGTATAATATTCAGTACACCATTGCATTTGCAAGGGGACAATGGCACTGCCCAAGAATACGAATCAATCTTTTTCAAAGAGTAAACCACATCCTCATCTCCTACTTACCTCCACCCAGAAAAGGACAAGTCATTTCTACCCACATGTCAGGGGTTTGAGATTCAAGGTATCCTTCCCTGCAAAGTCACTGAGCAAAGCTATGGAACAAGCGTTTCCTAAAGGAAACTACTGCTCTCCAGAAAGCCTCTGTAAGACTCTTATTTGCCAAGCCAAGGGTCGTTTCTTTTAAAGGAAGAAAACTCACAGGGGTCTCTGAGAGGACTGAAAAAGCTATTGTTGTATAAGGTGCCAGTGTGAATGTTCGAAATACCAAAGGAAGAAAACAAAGCTTCACTAATGGTACTTCAAATAGGAAAACAAGAGATCTTTTTCATGAAAGAAAGTACCGACTTACTATAAAATATTTAATCAAGATGAGGTTTTTGCCTTGTTTTATAATCAACCTCTGTTACATTTTCTGAACTGACAACTTAATAAATATTGACAGAGGTTCCAACTATGATAAACCAAAATTTAAAAGGCTTGTCAGAAATGATACTTAATAGTTATTCAATAATAGTCACAGGGTGTCTCCTAAGTGTATAAAAATTTTACTATGTTCTCTAAAACTTTGAAAGAAAATAGTAGAGACTCACTCCCAAAATTACAATCTAATGGGAAGGATTAGACATAGATACATTAAAAAGTTCAACTACAATATGGCCTTTAAATAAGAAGGTAAGACAGCAATACAAGGTGGTTAGGTGAGAGGGGCCAAGAGAATGGGAAAGCCAAAAACTGTGAGCAACTGAGAAGAGCAAAATCTTACTGCTATTATCAATACAATTTAGGCTAACCTTGGTAATGATAGCATGAATGCTAGATTCTACATCCATCTATACTGCATGCAAGGTATAGTTTTCATGAAAAAAAAAAAAAAAAAAAGAACTTTGTAAAGTTTATAACCTGGCCAGGTATGAAAATTGAGCTCACAAAGGTTACAGCATATTTCACTAGAACAAGGAAGGCTGAGTATTTAAAAATAAACTTGGAAATAATATAAATGGATCATCACAATCTTTACTACTAAATTCTTATAGATGAATATTCAAACAATTATGTGGGTGTGTACTTGGCATTTTTTAGACAGACTATAAATTGTGACACAGTCAAATTCCTCAAGGAGAAATTCAGATATATAGTTTTCCCCTAATTCTGTTCTTTTCAAATACCACCCTAAGAAGGGCCACTTTTGCTTTTTAGGAGAACAATTGGCCTATCTTTGCTTGACCTTTGTCTAAAGATAAAAGTGGGGTGGAGAAGGAGTGAACAAATAGTATTTAAAGCTGCCTTTTCAGTCTTCTGCTAATCCACTAACAAAATACATCTAAAAGGAAAATCAAATATGAAATGCCAGTTACTCTGTTGGGCACTCAACCAGTGGAATATTGCCACTGTGTAGTCCTTAGGTAATCAGAGAGATTCGTGTACGTTTTTAAAGCTATGGGACGTTAAGCCTCTGGCTTCTCATTTTGCAATATTTTAAAAAATGCTTTGGTAACAGTAAGCCAAGTAAAACTTGTAATTCCTAACTCTTTATCAACAAGCAACAAATATGGATTAAGATAATTTAAGAATTTCTGTGTCCTTCCATTTCGACTCCTAGCTTCCTAAAGTTCTCCTGACAGATGTACCAAGATGTGGCAGCAAAAGAGCACAATCTGAAGTTTGTGATTTTACTGCTCCCAAAAGGGAGGTGAAAAAAAAATGCTTTTTTTATTTATTTTATTTTAGTTGCACTTCTACCACAATCATGTCTGCAGAACCATTTCTACAGAGACGTCAAGGCCAAAGTGGTTTAGAAAATAGATCTAGTAGGAAAAGAGAAGAAAGTAAGTATATAGAGATAGTTTCTTTAAAATAGTTGTGTTTTAAAGTGGCCACAATAAAGAAAATACAGCCATGCTAATTTTATGGATTTAAAAGGCTTTTCTCAATTAACTGAAATATTAGCCTGTATTATCTCATCTATTCAGCTGTTTCTTAGCTGGAATTTTATCTGTCATACTGTTTCCATAGTCAGAAGGAAGTTTAATGGTTCTCCCATTCTTTCAGAGATGGATTTACGTGTAGACTCAGGAGGGTATGAAATAAAGAACACTGGGAGCACTAGCCTATCCTAAAATGCAACTCTTCTCCAGGTACTTGAAACCTTACCATTACTGACTCACTACTACTTCAGTCTTCACAGAAACAGGTCTTCAGAAGAAATTCCCTGATTAAGTATACCATGCATCAGATTAGACTGATGGTTTCTACCAAATGGGCTGAAAAAAATTCCATCTATTAGTGAGGTTTACTTTTCTTCTAGCTATTTTAATATCAGATATCGACTCTACCCTTGAAGTAATGATACCCATAAAATGTATAATATGGCTAAACACATTCCATCTACCTAGGATTTGAGTGCAGGGAGATACTGCTGAAGATTGCTATTTTCACAGTTTATCCTCCATCTTCAACTAGCAAATT